TGGCTGATGATGATGTTTGAAACATCAAAACATGTTCCGAAAACTGAAAAGCGTTGTTGTGTTTTTAAAAATATTTACAACACTTGTGCTATAAAGACCGTTTGGTAAATTTATTTATTTACTTATTTATTTATTTATTTATTTATTTATTATCTTTTAAGGGCTTTTGTTTTGAATTAAATTGAAAACAATTTTAACTTCATATAGCTAAGGTATATTTTATTCATTTATTAAAGGTTTTTGTTTTGAATTAAATTGTAAATAATTTTAACTTTAATATGTAGCTAAGGTATATTTTAATATGTAAATAGTGTCCCCAATTAGTTTTTTTAAGCTAAATACCATTGACACTTAAATTAAGTCTTTCATTCAAGAATGAATTCATTGTACCTATACTGTACAGCCCTCAAAGGAAACTTGAATTCCAGCTTGTCCTTACACTGTAGGACAAGTATTTCTCAAATGATGCTTGCCCTGGACAAGTCTTAGATTGCTCTTTTAATGATTTAGTTGGCAGACGACTTGACTGATCTCTGGCCCATCGGGCAAGTAAGAATGAAAAGTTACTTGCTTAGGAGGAAAATCTTCTTGTCCAGGATGACTGGACAGCACTTTTTTTGAGCCCTGCTGTACCTTCTATATTGTAGCTACATGTGTATAATCATTCTTCTGGTTTCTGATTCATTCACTGAGTAGATCTCTTTCCTTTTAATGCTTTCATCGTTACTTTCATTCAATAAACTGCATTGTAAATTGATTTGCAGGACTTTTCCAAGTGTAAATGTGAGAGGAACACTGCTGGGTCTAACTGCGAGAAGTGTTTGCCTCTTTTCAACAACAAGCCTTATCGAATGCGTGAAGCTTGTGAAGGTGAGCTATTGACATACAAACAGGTCAAGTACAGGTAATAGGCCTGAGTGGTGACTGTGAGTGGTGAATGGTGAAATCAGAGACTCACACAGTCTTTGAGAAACATGTTTGAAAATCCCAGACCAAGATTTAGATGATGTTATAAAAGTGAGTCTAAGATGTGCTGTTTAGACTTAATGTACATTGTGCATTGCATTATGTTAAATTCCAAACTCAAGATGTGATGATCAAGTACTCCTGATATGATGTAGCTAGAAATTGGATTACATTTCCTGTATTAACATATACCCAGTCATGCAGTTTTATTTTTAAAGGAAGAAAAATAATAACAACAAAAAAGCAAATCTTAAGACCCTTAGATCTTGTGACTCACTTACAGTACTGTGCACTACAAAACTTGTGAGATTTGGAAATAGGATTGAGAGTTTCGTGGATCCAACCATGTACAGTGGTACAGCTGTAGGTACAGCTATACCCCAACAACTTGCCATCCCTAGTTATGTCAGTAGTGCATCATACGTGTAGAAAGATAGGGGTTAACCTACATGTTCTATTTGTCTTTTATGTTGCAGCATGTGAGTGTAACAATCATGCCGATAGCTGCACATATAATGAAACTAAAGGATATGGAGTTTGTGATGATTGCAAACACAACACAGTCGGGGATAACTGTGAGCTCTGCAAAGTGTCCTTTTACAGAAATGCAGCTGTTCCTCAAAATGACTCGAACACTTGTCTTGGTAAGTTCACTGTTTTGACAAAGCAACCTTTTGTATAGCTTCAGAATACACATGTTCATGTAGCTCTCTGAATTAAGTATAATATTATAACCGACTGCAAGGGTCATGCTTGATACCATGGCTGGTGCACTCAACAACAACAACAAGCTTTATTTGAACTGTAAAATTAACTTAATTACTAATTACTCACAGTACTCACTGTACCATATGCAGTGTTGAGAAAGAGCTTTAGGAACTTTGAAGAAACTAGGAAATATTGAAACTTAGTATTAAACAAAGTTATTGAAACTAACTTTAGAAACTAAAAATCACAATATTGGATTGCACCATGAAGTGTTTTGATGGCCTAATTTTATGTAATTTGGTTGGCTTTCTTGGCTTCAGATTGCATCAATCCTAAATTTTTGCAGTTGTAGAATACCTGGATTCTCTTGAAAGCAATAAGCACACATTATCATTACAAAACCTTTTCACAACACTGGCTGTTTTATATCTCTTGGTAAGTGCTTTTCTTGCTCACCGCTCAGCTAGATAATATTTATAAATTCTTGTTCATTTCAGCATGTGCATGTAATGTACCTGGTTTAAACAGTTCAGCAGACAGCTCACGGTGTGACGTTAATACTGGCCAGTGTGATTGTAAGAGTCATGTTACAGGAAGGGCCTGTGATGTGTGCCGTGATACATACTGGAAATTAAGTGCAAGCAATGAGGCAGGCTGTGAAGGTGGGTTTGCTTGAGATACAGTGTATGAAGCAAGTCAGAAATAATTTTATCAGTTATGCACCTGTAGACTCTCTCTTCAGGAATGTACCTTTTTTGTAATATTTACAATGGGTATCAATAATCGATCCTGTTGTCTCTCCTTCAGGATGTCAGTGTAACTTAACCGGGACAGTGAACAGTTCTGATGTGTGTGATAAAGTGTCTGGTCAGTGCCCCTGTAAAGAATTATTGACTGGGCGGACTTGCAATCAGTGCCAGGTGGGTAATATTGTACAGTTATTTAATTTATTGAATGACTGGTCCTGTGAGAGATAGTTTTGTCTGTTGAGAATTGCAATGTTTCCTGATAAAGACAAAGTTCCAGGTACTGTACTAGCCCACAAAGTCCTAAACATTGCTTAGGGTATGTTGTTGTTGAGCTAACAAGGCTGGTAAGGGCAAAGAGCTATGATTTTATAATTTTTATGTGTTGCAGTTTTACTGTGAAAGCTTCTTTGGGGCTAGTGGCTCAACCACCTCACTTTACACTCATCGTTCTGCAGTATAAGGTGTTTAGGACTATTGCTGTTGATCCCTGGGTAGGAACCTAGTCAATTGAAGGTTGCCCTCCAAAGTTTGGTTGGGTTGTCCCAACATCTGCCGGTACCGGTATATCCATTTAATACTGTAAAATCCCACTTTAAAGCCTCCCAGTTATATGCCTCCCCTCCGATTATACCCCCCCAGATATAAGCCCCTTTTTTTCCTTTAAAATGAAAGAATTCGATTTATTGTAATGCTTTAAAGCTTAATTAAAAACCATTATATGAAAAAACATATTTCGTTAAACACTGCTGTAGCTCTAGTTTTGAAATGGTCTTTTATTCCGCTTAGAAGCCCCCCNCCCAGATATAAGCCCCTTCCATTTATAGTCCCACCCAAAACTCCTTATGAAGTTATATGAGCCCAGGGCTTTAACATGGGATTTTATTTTATGTACACCTGTGCTAGGCACATTTTGTGGGTAAAGGTAACTTATTAAAGAATCTGTATTCAAGCCCAGTAGCCCATCAGGCCGGTGCAGAAGCAGCTAAGAATATTTTTTACTTTCCCTGGCTGGGATACTAGTCCTTCACAGGCTAACTCCAAAATTGTTGTCAGGTGGTGGAAACAATATTATTTGCCAGTATCCATTTAATAGACCCAGGTAGAGAGGCCTTGAGCCGACTTTAAGTGTCTTACCCATGAATACAACACAGTAGCAAGGTCAATGGTGGAACCTGGACTGTTTGATACAAAATGCAGTATGTTAGCCATTTCCCCACTGCATCTTCCACAATTTTATCATTTGACAAAAAAATTAAATCATTTGAATGACAATTAATCGCCAATTGTTTACTCAGGATGGGTACTATGGTTTGACTTCTCAAAATCCTGGTTGTACTGCTTGCAACTGCGACCTGGCTGGCTCGGTCAATACGTCTTGTTCCTCATCTGGTCAGTGCTACTGCCGACCAAGATTCTCTGGTGTCAAATGTGATGTGATTGATTCAGGATTCTTTGTGCCAAGTGTAGATTTCGTGACATTCCAAGCTGAGGATGCTACACCTAGGACTGTAAGTATTTAGTATAGAACACAGCATGATTCTGTAGACCAATAATTATTAGCCTGTGCAAAGACTTCAAATCTTCTTTATGTATCAAAAATCAAGGTTGTAGGAGATAAAGTGCAAGCCTGCTTTTGCCCATCTTGTTATTATGGACACTTTCTTTCTGGCCCAAACAAAACCCTGGTCAGCCATTTTTTTTATGTACATGTAAGAGCCTCTTAGATCAATATGACCACCCTGATAAAATGGTCAGACATTGGTGGCCAGATTGTAGCTTAATTAAGTTTTTTTTTTTTACTGTAATTGAACATCAGGCTAGCAATTTCTTAAAATCATCTTGATCTGCTCTTCTTCATCCTGTTTTCTATCCTCCAAATCCTCCAAGAACCAGTATAGCAACTGAACCACGACATACCTATATTGTATCTTGAGTAAGAGGGCATGTTATAACATTTGATGAGAATTGTGTTAACTAAGACTATGGGATTACCACTGGCAATCTGCAAAGGGTTTTTTGTAATGTCAGTCTATACTTTTTTTTCCGCAGCCACCAGCAAAGAGGATCAATTACACAACAATCACTAACACTGCTGGCGACAGTGTTCTAGTAGTGGGTGTGATACTAAATGAGGGTGCCAACAACCTATCTTCAACTAAGCTTGACTTCACAGTAAACATTCCAAAAACTGGATTTTTTAATTTTGTTCTGCGATACATGGTAAGGGTTTTTCCATCTTGCAGACCAGACTTAGATTTGCAATGTTAAGTTAAAGTATGACTGATGCGGGGTTGTCAAAAGTACATGTAGCTGGCTGCTGGCGACATTTACCTTCTGCTTCATTATCTTGTTCTGCCACTCTGCGGAGCTATCGGTCCGATTCTTTAGGAAAATCAAAGGTCAGACAACTACTTCAACAGCAAAGCCAGCAACTTCAAAACTTTGTGACAAGCCTGGTTGATTGGTTGTAAGAATTTTGCTGTGCATTGTTTAGTGCTCCTGTTTCTCAGCGCTTGAAGCTTAAAGTACTTGTGCTGAATACAGGACATACATGTAACTTTAAAACACTGTAATTCTATTAATAATTTATTTTGGGGATTCTTTTTTTGCACTCTCTCCATAAATTACTTTCTTTGATCCTCATACATCTGATGACTGATTTACTTGAATGTGCCTTTTATTTTCCAGACAAATTATGACTGGAGTTTGATTAAGATAACTGCTTTGCTACGAACAGCTTTTACTCCATTTTCCTGCAACAACAATGTTCAGATCACCAGCAATGAACCATACATTCTTAACAAAGCAGTATCATCTGGGAATGAAGCTATTGATTATGGCAGTCAATGCTTGTCGGCTGGTCAGTATCTTGTCACACTTGAAATTCCATCTGGGAGTGCTCTGCAAGCTGCTGTGTCCAGCCGACGGAGGCGAAGAGCATTGCCAGATGCAGAAATTGTGGTGGACTCAGTGAGTTTGATCCATCTGCTGTATCTTATTGACTTAGCAGGAGGGCCCGACATATGGCATACGTCATGTAAATGTATTGACCGAGCCTAGTGGTAGCTGCTGTTGAAGTTATCAGCAGTTTGACATACAAAAAGGCCAAAGGGTCAATTTTGCATTGTATTGACCCGTTCGCCTCGTTTGTATGCCTTTTTAAACAAAGGAACATTTGACAGCAGGCTCAACTGCAATAAGAGCTATTTCTTTCCCAGTCTGGCCTAACTTAGTCAACAGCTTTTTCACGTGACCTTTATTGAGCTTGATTATGATTGAAAGTTGGTGAATGCTTGATTTACCCTGATCAACCGAATGAATTGCTGATGTGTCTAGGACAGGCACCTTTTCATTTCTTGACCAAGTCAAGATGTTTTGCCTTACACACATCAGCTTGCAGTATTGTTGTGTTTGCCTTAATAATGTAAGATAGCTTGCTGCTGCAATAATTACACTAATTAGATGTTACTTGTAACAACTCTTGGTTTCTTAACTTGATTGAAAACCTGAAAACTGCAGACAAGCACTTATTTTTACTCCCAAAAGATATATTTATTTACTTGAAATTGTCTTTACCATAGAAAACATTTTCCATTCACAGAGGTGTGACTGTAGTACTTATCTTAATTATTAATTTTTATCCAGATTGTGGTCATGCCGACTGTTCCAGAGTATGAGGCATTCCAGGAAGCTTCTGCTGAAGTGCAAGAAAATATGACAATTTATTACAACTCGTCAGCTTCATTGCGTACATGGTCAGCAAATTCTGAAGAAGGCAGCCGTGCACTTTCCCCAGTGTTTGGTGACATCTTTGGTGAAGGACAAAGTAATTAGGAAGTCTTTTTTACAAAATTCTGTCATAAAGTAAAGTAAAGTATGTTAAGTCAGTTTTTAAAAGATCACCTTCAAAATTATTGAAGAAAACCTCACAAAAATGGAGCAAACCTAGGTTGAAAAACATTAATGGGAGTAGTGATGATAATCTTAGTTACTGGAAGATTGAGATGGATTGCACATGACAACCTTGAAAAATTTTGACTAGAACATACGTACTATTACATGTATTTCTAATGGCCACAGTATGTTACTTATAAAAATTGTACGTTTTCTGAATAAAGTTCTTGTTATAATAATAATAATAATAATGATGATGATGATGATAAATGAATTAATAAAGCGCTCATTTCCAGAGCTCAATGGCACTTTACAATGTATGTAATTAAAATTCAAACCACTTCTAGTTAAAATTGAAAAAGTTCGGTCAATCTTTACTAATGAAGTGGCTGTTTATTGCAAAGTATGTCAAGAGTAAACCTATTGTGAAATAAATAATAGCAGAGAACTTTGCACTGTGGCAAGGTTTTTTGAGGAATGTAATGTGTTAACATTTGCTTACACCACTGTACAACAGTGACAATACAGTTGTATTGTAACATTGTGGTTGTACTTTGTATATATTTGGGGCATACTGACACGCTATGTTTTTCATGCAGGTTGCAACTGTAGCTCAGTAGGATCTAACAACCCTGAGGAATGTGACAGAAATGGAGGGCAGTGTTCCTGCAAGCCTAATGTGATTGGTCGTACATGTCATCAGTGCAGGCCTGATTACTTTAATTTCAGCTCTGGCCAAGGCTGCCAAGGTGAGGTAGTCATTAGGATTGTGCATTGTTCGTACATTTATATTCCTGACAAGCCAATCAATGTATTGTGACGCACGCAGTTAGTACAGTAAATGTTAGCTCAACTCTGCTAATACCTAGTCAGTAGCACCATAGGTCTGCATTGTGTGCAAAGGACTATGGCTGCAATTAGCCATGGTGTGGTTGAAATTTCCACTGAAGGAATGGAGTCAGATCCTTGGTATTAATAATGCAGCTTCTTATTTCTGTTTTATTTACAGCATGTGCCTGCAGTGTGATTGGTGCAAATGAAAGTTCTTGCCATCTGGAGACAGGACAGTGTTCGTGTAGGGAAAATGTGGTTGGCCTGCATTGTGATAGCTGCCAGACAAATTTCTATGATTTCAACAGTGGTGCAGGCTGTTCTCCCTGTAATTGCAACCCTGTGTACTCTAGCAACCTTCAGTGTGACGGCAACAGTGGTATTTGCAGCTGCAAGCCTGGTATAAATGGTGGGAAATGTACAGGATGCGCCGATCAGTTTTACAATCTCACAAATCAAGGTAGATACATGGGTGTGAAAGTACTAAGATACGAAAATTTCTGGTTTGACAATGACAATAATCTGATAGAGTTCAATATGAGTAAACTGTAACTAAAAACTGGTGTATATGAGTCATTCTAAATCCTGTTTTATGTGCATCTACATGTTTCGAAGTTTTTCTTTTTTTTCCCACAGGTTGTATGCCATGTGAATGTAATCTTGCAGGAAGTATGAATCCTGTTTGTAACAAGACAACTGGCCAATGCCCTTGCAAGGAGCATTCTGTTGGCCATCAATGCGACACTTGTCCTTCTGGCTATTATGGTTTAAGTGTCAACAATTCCGAGGGTTGTCTGAAATGCCAGTGTTCAAATAAGTCATCAAACTGCTTGAGCGACCAAGGATGGTTTGTTTCACAGATAACCACAAATCTGTCTGTCTTTTCATCCAATGCTGATTTTGATAACTGGACTGCGAATAACAGTGCTGGGGACCCAGTAGAGCTTGAGCTGGATTGGATCGTAACAATTAGCATCGAGAAGTAAGTGAAGTTTGAATTCTACGTTGAGTTGAGAGTGTTCTTATTTGCAGGTGCTGTGACCCTAAGGGACCAAGATTTTCCTTGATTGCACTTCTCATAATCTTTAGGCTAGGTTTGTCTTTCTGCCCCAAATAAAACTCTAGCCTGCTCCTTTTCAAAGACTATTGTACAAAAATTGTTTTGGCAACTTTTGGGTCCTGCTGGAAGAAGAGTCTTGACCTCAGACACTGTATATAAGAGAGCACGTTTTGATGTTCACCTTCAGAATTTTGCATCCTATTAACACTACAGTTCAGCCCCTATTAAAATGACCACACTTGGGGAATGGATGGTGGCTGCATAAACGGGGCTAGCCGTTTAATAGAGGTGAAAACAATAGAAAAGACCCCATCGGAACTTTGATTACTGGCTGCCTAATATGGGTGGCCGTTTATCAGGTGGCTGCTTAATACAGGATTGACTGTAGTTACTTTTTTAAAAGCATTCGTTTCTGCAAGCCTAAAACGTAGCAAAATATTTCCTCCCTGCTACCAGCATTTTCATACAAATGTACAGTTTCTCTGTTCATCAAGGACAAACATTTGTCAATTATATTACAGTAGTCAGCATTTCCAGGAGTCTCCATTTTCACCCATCTGCCCTCAATCTTATGATAGAGCTGCAGTCTTTTCTTTGTGGTTTCCCTTGTGTGCAGGTATTCAGAAATATATGATTTTTTTTCTTCTTTTTTTTCAGAGGATCATTGAAAGTTGACACAGCTGGTTCAGAGGATGTGTATTTTGTTGCACCTGATAAGTACCTTGGAGACCAGAGATTTGCATACTCGTTTGCATTGTCCTTCCATTTACAGCAGGACAATGCGTCAAGCCCTGCAGCATCGTCCAAGGGTGATGTTATTCTGGAAGGCAAGTGGTTTGACCAGCCACTCGTCACTAGCCTTGCTACTCCTCCGCCTGGTGGAAATACTTTTGAAAAATACGAGGTAAGAATAAGGCTAAATAATGGTAAAGTAATCAAGTTCAGGGCTTTCATTAAGTTTTGATTCACCTGTAGCCTTGTCTTCACACACAATTTTTTTTTACTTTATGGGTGAATCGTATCAGCTATAAGCAAGTTCACCTGTAACATACAACATGAGCAACATTTTTTTGCAACTTGTCTCATAGCAGTGCTGCTGCATTGCTTGTTAAAATACGTTTTTGTATCTATTATTCTTATCTATTTTGCAATTTGCGTTAACATTGCTACGGAAGATGAAAAGAAATTACAACTTCTTTGGTAATATGCCCAACAATGCTTTTTAGTTTCCAATGACGTTTTGCGACAAAATGTATTGCTGTGTTCCTCGTAAATGAACAAACCGTTTAAAGGAGCTCAGTCATGGTATTTTGAGTTATTTTGACCACAAACAAAATTACCTTTAAATGGTAGGAAACCTGAAAATAACAGTTTAATAAGATAGAAAAACACCAAAGAGATAATGATAAACCATAAAGGAACAAGGATGGCCAAGGATGGAGAAGATTGACACAGATTACAAACGACGAATTTGAAAAATTTAGGCTAAACTTTTCGTGACTGAGCTCCTTTAAAGAATGCTTTTAGAAAAATTGTATATATTTGTGGGAGTCGTGACGGCCAAATGGTTAGCGTGCTGCATAGGCGTGGATCGAGCAAGCCCTGTTGGAGGTCACTGTGTTATGTTCCTGTTATGTTTGCTTTACTCTGACAGTACAATCTCCACTCAGGTGTAGAGTGCGTCGTACCAGGAAGTGGTGGGTAAGTTAACTCAATTCATTCTGTTTTCAGGTTAAACTTTTTGAGAGTAACTGGAGAGTGGGAAACACGTCTGGACGACAGCCCACTAGCGATGAAATGATACGAGTCTTGAGTCATTTGACATCACTGCGTATCAGAGCCAAGTGGACAACACTAACAACTCAGCAATTCAGCCGGTTGGCGGACATTGCTTTGACTGTCAGCAGCAGGTGAGTGATAGCTATATTCAACTTGGTGAAAAGGAGAGGGGCATTTTTCACTCCACTTTGTTATACAGACATACATGTAAGTGTACACGGGAAAAAATGAGTTTAACCCGGAACCCATCATATTTTACATTGTGCAAATAATTCTAAGGGAAGGGAACCTGAAAGTTTTAATCAATCTTATTGAAGGTTACATATTAACGTAAGAAACATGAAAAGACGTCGATAAACGATAAGGAAACAAGACTGGAGTGGTTAAAGTTGTGAACGATTAAAAACAGAATGCAAACAGGGGTGATGAACTTGAAACAAATGTTACGTTCCAAGTTGCAAATTGAGAAAAAAACAATCAGCACCACACGTAATACTGCCCGTTGACTGTGGGCTTTCGACCATGCAAACGTAATTCACTCGCGTTTCGACGAAGGAAGAAAAAGAGGTTTTATTTTTTCAACAATTTTACTTTAACTTTCAGGAAAAGTGGAGAAGAAAATGCTTCAAATGTGGAGACTTGTTCATGCCCTCCAGAGTACGATGGTCAGTTCTGTGAACAGTGTGCCAGCGGATACACGCGTGTCACGCCAAATGGAGGACCATATGTCACGTGTGTACCATGCCAGTGTAATGGACACTCAAACTCGTGTCATCCCGAGACTGGTGTGTGTATGGACTGTCAACACAACACTACAGGTAGGGATCTCGCTTTGAGCCTTAGCAGCCATGTAGTATTTAGTGTACGATTCTCCATCGTTTCGTAAGTAAAGCATTAGACCAGGGTTAATTTTTTTTTTCTCTCGACCTGTCTTGAGCCATTGTTTTCTGAAAATATGCATTGGCACTTTAAGCATTGTCTTAGTACAGCAGTTTCAACAGAGTTGTTGGCTGTACAAGTATTTTGTAGCACTGAAAACATTTTCCAAGCGCCAGGAAAATTTCTTAAATCATTTGCTAGCTTCTGTTATTATCTTTTCTTCTTCACTCACTTTTCTCACTTTTCGTTAGGTGATCATTGCGAAAAGTGCTCTGATGGTTGGTATGGTAACGCTACTAATGGAACACCCGAGGACTGTAGCCCTTGCCCGTGTCCCGCGGGACCAAATGCCGTGAATCAGTTTGCCCGAACCTGCGTACTTTCAAATGATGGTCTGCCAACCTGTATTAACTGCTCAGCGGGTCATGAAGGAAGATACTGTGACAGGTGCATGGATGGCTACTTTGGACGGCCGAGGGTGAGTGGGTCATTGTCTGAATCTTGGGCTGAATTTCCGATTACCTGAAATTCAGTGGCGTTAACTGACTTTCAATCTTGTATTCGGCTGCCTTTGGTGATCACCTGACGAGATTGGTTTGTTGTGATATTTCTAAGCATGTGCACAAGGTGTATTGACAAAGCATTACAGTGTGTATATTGTGACACACAGCATTAATAATCAAGTGGCTGAAATAATCAGATGATTGGCTACCTCAGGTTTGCTTTTCACGAGCTATGTAACAGTACTGAATCATTATAAACTAGGGCAACCTTCAGTAAACAGTGATTGAAAGCGTTGTCTTTGCCAATCGAATGGCGGTCATTTGGCTCCCTGACTAGAACCACTCGAGGTTTGATTTACGCGCGTTTCTCTCGCTTCTTATAGTCGCTTGTTTCTGCTTCATGTACTGATTGGTTTTTGACGCTAATTGCGGGTCACGTGATTGTTTCTGGTTTGATTCGCTACCATTCATTGGTAAAACCGCTGTGATGTTTTCTTAAGGTATCGTTTTTCTTGCAGGAACAAGATGGCGAGTGTCGCAAGTGCGCGTGCAGTGGCAACATAGACCTTGATTCCAGAGGTAACTGTAACACCACGACTGGACAGTGTCTCAAGTGTCTTTATAATACGACTGGATTCAACTGCCAGTGGTGTGCGCCGGAATTCCACGGAAATGCATTAAATAAAACTTGCTCACGTAAGTGAAGTCTATCTTGCGCATTTGAAGAAGCGCGATCTCATTTCACTAACAATTTGTCTTAGAATGAATTCAAGCAGAATACTTAGTAAACGAGCGCCAGACAGCTTTCTCAGGCCCAGTCCACACCACGCCGGAGGAATTTGAAAACGCAGTTTTAGTTCCATGGTTGTATTAGGCCTACCGTCCACACTTAATCCGTCACGATAACGAAGCTTTTCGAAAACGCTCTTCAAACCTGGGGAATTTGAAAACGCCGGCTTTGCGTTTTCGTGGGGACAGAAAACATTTTGAAAACGGAGCTTTTTGAAAACGATGACTTCACGAGTTTTTCCAAACAAAATCACCGGTGATTGTTGCGTTTTTAAATTCCTCTGGTGTAGTGTGTACGGATGGTTTTTCAGAGTGAAAGCTCCGTTTTCAAATTCCCCCGGCGTGGTGTGGCCGAGGCCTCAGTCGACAAGAGACTGGGCGATACGTTTGTCTTTCGTCAGGTTGCTAAGCAACGTGGTTCTTTTAAGTTCTCTTAAGCCACCTAATATCGTGGTGTTTCACTCCTTCCAGGTTGTAACTGTTCGTCTGTTGGCGCCGTCAGTAACGTGTGCAACAACGTGACTGGCTCGTGTTACTGCCAGCCGTATGTCACGGGCAGGTTGTGTGACAGGTGTGAAGAGAATGCCTTCAATTACACTGAGTATGGCTGTATGCCTTGTAACTGTAACAGCGATGGATCAGATGATCTGCAGTGTGACTCGGTAAGCCATCTATGCGCTCTCTGTCTTAGTGACTTAAATGGACACATCGCAGATGTGATTTCGTGCGGTACTGCAGAATTAAAATAAACAATGGAGGACACTTAGTCTTACCATCGGTCACAGGCCTTAAACTCTGGCCAAATCGATCCTGAAGAGATTTTGAGAGGGTTACGAGGGTATTTTCTTTTGTCTCGCCCGCCCAATCCTTAAGGTAAACATCATTTCTTACTCTCTTGCATCTGCATCGGAGCAGTGCCTTTGGGAAAAAGAAACTTTCAGAGAGATTCGTAACCTGCAATGCAGGTGTATTTTGGCGAGCGAGCGCATTTTTATCAAACGAGCCCCATCTTGGATTCAAACTATTCCCGCCCACTTTTCCTAAGCCAACATGGCGGCAAATCTACTCGATCACGAGCTAATACCGATAACTTGTGAACACACTGAAGACGCCTGCACTGCAGTCTAAGATATGCGATGTTTGTAAAATAAACGAGTCATCACTTTTTTCTTGTACATGTATTCTAAGGGATTTAATTGATTGGTGAAATAACACGCAAGCTGTTAATTTTAGCCTAATATTTATTTATTTATATTTTTCATTTCATTTCAGTTGCACGGTAACTGCAGCTGTAAGCCAAACGTGATTGGTCGCAAGTGTGACATGTGCGATGCAGACTTCTTTGATGTCACACGTAGTTGTTTAGGTATGAAGTACAGATTCACTGTTATTTGTCGATAATAAAATCACACAGTGCAGATAGAACTTGCAGCCACTGTAGTGTTTAAGTTTTCATTCCCAATCACGTGTGAAACTGTAGAATATGGATTGCACCACAGCAACCGGCCCATTTGTGGCTAAACATTTTATAAAAGGCTAGAAGTAAGTTCGAGTTCGATTTGTGTGGAAACTGGGAAGCACTCGTTGCATTCACACCTTTAAAAAATTCTTTTGTAAGACAGGAGATATTTGCGGCTAGATGATTCTTCTGTTGCACCGTAGTTGTTTCTTATAAGCTATTAAAGTCTTGACATCTTTTCAGTGATTACACTAATTCAGTTTATCCATGTTCATGCAGAGGTTATACTCTGTGAGTTCGTTCGGTCCATGTTTTATTTATTGTTGGGTTGACTGCTCTGTNGCAGCTCAGGTAAACTCGTCCTTCGAAGCAGCAAATGGAAATCTGTCAGAAGTACAACAAACTCATCAGAACTCAGAACAACTGCTAGATGACGTGACAGAGGCGGAAGGTATGCACTTCTTTGATCTTTAAAGTCACACAATGGAAACATTTTCCTTCGAGTGCTCCTGCGGACTGAGTTCGTAAGCCGTTCCATGCATCGTCGCGCAAGCGATCCAAATAACAGCTGCGAAGAGGACTAGGACTGAGGTTATCATTTACGTGACCGCTGGGGACTGGAAATGGTCCTGTAGATATTTAAAAATTAAAATAGAAGAATGGAGATGTTTTTCTCCTTTGTATTATTCAACGTTGCGTTTAACTTTTTAAAACCGCCTCCGAACTGACAGCAATTTCGTTTTTCGACTACTGTACAGTAGTTTTTCTTCCAAGCCAAATAGTAGAAAACAAATGAATGAACATATTCACATAGGTGGGTTCACTTGTTCTTCAAATTAAAGGGGCTCTAGGAACCATGGGTAATGGATTGAGCATCAACAATTTGTCGTTGTTTGTCTTTTAGAATTGTTGGCACAGTACATGGCACAGAGAGACGAACTTGAGAGACTGGGCCTTGAGATACAGGAGCTTGAAAGAGAGGCTGATGATTTGTTGGCTGAGTTTAGTGTGGCCGCTGACCAGTACTCACGTTGTGCGGGCGCAGCATGATGACTACCGGAGCATTTGAAGCTGGTCAGAACAACAGAAGACATCCACAGTTGTGTGTATATTTTAAGAATAGCTATTATTCTAGAGCTTAACAGTCAACTCAACGTCATACTTTGTGATGGCCTCTGGAGGCTAATTTTATATGGCTGGCGTCTTTACGCATTACATGCTGGCATTACGAGAATTCGGTTTATTAGGGTTCTAGATCAAATGTTTTAACAAATGGTCGTGTTTTGGAGTGAAAACACGAACAGTAGTTCCAAATCATTGACAAACGGAATACTGAGAATCTGTTTAGATTAATATATTATTTAGAGACGGTCAAATATTTTGAGGTCGTATGAAAATCGGCAGGCACGAATTAAGTTTGATAACATGACCGGTGTTTTTACATGTAACTAATGTTTTACGTTTTTTACGAGAACAGGTTAGTAGTGAAACCCTACTGAATATTTTTTATGACCTACCTAATGTCCTTTATTTTTGCGGGGTGCGAATTTAGTAAGTTTTGATTATTATTAAAACTTCTCCCAACCGTATGTTCACTTGTTGGGCTGGTAAAATGTCATCGCGGAAGGAATGTTCGGAGAACGGAAAAAATGGAGACGGGTGTTTCTCCCTACAGACCCCGTGACCTAGTTTGAACAGAAGTCGTATCAATACTGGTTATATATTGCGTGATGTTTTGGATTTAACAAGTCAAGAAAAATATATGCGAAAGAATCTAAAAGCGCGAATGTTTTTTAGATCTTTAACGTCACTGTCAAAACTTCGTTTCTAGTACAGCTTTTTGTAGAAAATTGTTCGTGGTTGCTTTTATCCGGGCTAGTAACCATACCTTTGTTATGGAAATTTTTGCTCCTTGTTTTTAAAGCTGTTTTAATTTCGAAACCAGATAACATGACCGGTGTTTTTACATGTAACTAATGTTTTACGTTTTTTACGAGATCAGGTTAGTAGTGAAACCCTACTGAATATTTTTTATGACCTACCTAATGTCCTTTATTTTTGCGGGGGTGCGAATTTAGTAAATTTGGCCACGTAGAAAACTGAGTCAATTATAAAGTTTGGAGTTTTTAGTGAAAAAAAAAATAGAATTTTATTGCCAAGAACACGTTTGTTTGTGTTGTTGCTTTCCGTTTCCTTTTTGTAGATCAATTTTCGTGATGCAGGTACAGAACCAAATTTAACCCACGCGTACTAAATGACATTGTGGTACAACTTATTTTCAGTCTGCATTTAATGTAGAAGGTGGACGATTGTCTCTTTCGCCGAGTCTTTCATTGTTGAGGGTCAGCGCAGGTGGGAGGGAAATGGTTAAGAAGCCCGGTAAACATGAAAGAAGCAAACAAACAGGCTAAGATTTATGTTGGAAGGCCCTTGACCCTGCACATCTTTTGTTTTATGCTCATTGACTATGCATGATTACATAATCGCAATGCTTCTATTGGTTAGTTGTATGAGCACACATAACCACCTTTTGTATTTTGCCAGGTTCTCTACAGGGTCAACCCCCAAAATAGCAAACAAGAACATACAACAAAGAACTTTGCCAGGTTTCTTAACCATTTCCCTCTATTAACCATGGTTTCACTAAACTTAATGTTCATCAGCATTTATGGCTCGATACTCAATTAAGAAGGACATTGAGAGGTTTTAGATTCTTTTTGGAAACACCCATTGTAATCACTGAATTTGAACAATGACCCTGTTTTAAACAGTGAGATCGAACCGCCGTTTATAATAAACACCCAGCTGATTTTATGTGAAAACAGGATACCATCGCTTTTAGATGGCAGCCAATGTATATAATGATTTCGCTCCGATCAATTTAGATAGGTAGCATGTAAAATCGTACGATAAATAGTTTGCTGTACAGTATTTATTTATAGGATAAAGAATACCAGGCATTTTTACAGTGAATTTTTAATGGCAATAAATACGTTTTTATTCGTAATAAATTGAGTTGATGATACTGTATGTAAGTAAGTAAGTAAAGTAGTTTATTAAAACTCTCTTGCAGTATATTCCAAACTATTAAGCACGCCACTGTTCATTTTGCCGTCAGAGTAATAATTCCAACAGCAAAACACAACGTTTTGTCAAATCTTACTTTTCTAGAATTGAACAATAGTTTCGCCCCCATACTCAAAACTACGCATGCGCAGATACTCTTTTTCGTTTCCAGGTCACCTTTCAGATATCTTCCCAGAATCCCTCGAGGCTGCCTCACTGCTAAAGAGTTTAACACTTGTCTTACAGCCAAAAACATCAGTGCACCACTGACTAGAGCTTGAACAAACACTTTTCACTTGACTCTGAAGATGGCTTCCGCTGAGACTGACGAAGCTTCTGTCACCACCAGCCTCGCTGGTCAATAGAGTTGCAAAACCTATTGTACCGGTAAACCACCGTTTCAGAACACTAGCGATAACAAATGCAATATAAACAGTTTCGGCTTTGACGGCCGAGATAACAATAACGCGAATATCTTTTCATTCAACTTAAACATGGAAATTTGCAAGAGAAACCGGACCAGAAGCCAGTGAGATAGATACTAGAAAACTACATTGCCTCAAAGTAATGCCAATGTTTTCTACCGAAAACTTCCAATTTGAAATAATTTTTGTAGCTCAAATCCCCGATTGGCTAAGTCAGGTCTCGCTTCTCAGGATGCGTTGGTAATAGATTCACTAAAGCTTTAATTTGCTTTTGGACACCAAGGAACCTGTCATCCAGCCTAATTTTCTCAAGATAAGATAGCCTAGCTCACCATGAGTGCCGACCGATAACTGGGAGTTCACGAGTTATACTCCCCTCGGGGACTCCAGAGTTTTTTCTCTGCTCCACGCTGGAGACATTCTGAAAGCTGTATCTTTCCCTTCATATTTCTTTTCATTTTCAGCCAATATTGTTTCTACCCAGAAAATTATGGGAAGTTCCTTAAAGATCTTTCTTAGCAAAGATTGTAGTTCTATATATTGAATACTATTTTTTAGAAGGATCTACTTTAACCTAGGCACCGGAGTTAAGATTTCGTAAATTCCAGGGATTCGTACTTGTTGCGGTNTACAGAAGTGCTTCCTGACGCTGTTGTGCCTAGTTTGGGTTTTTTAAAGACCATATTCATCAATGGTTCTAATGAGATGCTCTTTCCTCTAGGCTTGTGCCACTGTGAACTATGTATTAAATTTAATTTATTACATTATTTTTCTTTTTTAAATTACTTTTACTTTTTTTAATTTTTTTTTTAACTTCAGCACGCCTGTGAAAACAGGCATCATTCTTTGCTCCTGGCACTAAACAAAAGAGGCAAGGTCATCACTGTGAGGTTTATTTGTGAGTGCACAGTGGCAGCATGATGGAATCTTGCACACTGAAAAAAATAGAAAAAATTTTTTGCAAATTCTACATTCACAAGAAAACGAAATGCAAGTAATGCTTTTTTAGAAGTGTGTCAACTTCCACTCTGAAATACAATTTGAGGGGAGTGACAATAATTACCAGCTGTGATACTTTGATAACGAGTAGTACTACTCTTCGATCAGTTGATGTAAAAATAACAATGGTATGAAATAAATGCTCAGTCATTTTTCGATTATACAGCTGCTTTCACTATCAGCATCCATAGCAGTTTATGTTGCTGCATCAGCTTCTGACGTGTCGTTTGAAATAAATCAATCAAAAACATTGCACAAGAGACCAGTATTGAGAAGGTCATGGTAGTGGCCTGTGAGTGGTACATCTCGATGTGTCTTGTTTGTTTAGGACGTCAAAAGATGAAAGTAGCTGTCAATGTAACACTGAAAGGGAGCTAATGGGTACTTTTAAAGAACAACACAAAGAAGACTCTTAATATCAATTTTAGTGAAGCAAAGAACAAAGTAAATGACCATGGACCGAGCACCATGGACCGAGTGCAGTTCATGTTCTACCCATGGTTTTCTTTGTCTTTTTTTGTCATGTTGGTGACCAGCCCCAAACTTCCTCTCGGTCAAATGTTGAAACTTGCAACCTGAAATGAAAAATGAAATGCTTCCTGAGGGGGTTATTCCCACCAGGGCCTTGTAGGTCTCCTTACCTTTGTAATTGGAATACATATTTCCTTTCAGCTCGAGAGATGTAGGTGCTTCACAGTCAAGCTCAGTACAGTCTATAATAACACGTGTCTTTGGATAGCTGTCTTTGAAACTCTGTGGCATAGTTGCATCGACCTGTTCTCTTGTTGGCCAAATAGGAATTGCTGACAAACAGAGATACATGAAGTTAACCCAGCTAACAAAGAGTTGACTGACGGTACTCTTGTCAATTCCAAAGAGCCATCCTAGATCCTTAGTAGAAAACCCTCTCCGTATCCTCGTCAATGTCAAGAGGAATTGCTGTTCCCCCGTGAGAGAGCGTTTACATCCACGCCCAGTTTCCGGGCGAGAATTTGGTGCTGAAACCAACCTGATGTTCTCTCCATTATCTCCTGGTTGTAGTAAATTTAGTACGCTAACAAAAACTGCATAATTTGGGAAACCAGTATAGTGCATACATTTCTCATCAGACTTGATAACTTCAACAGAAAAAACTGGACCATCAGCTTTTTTTCCTGCTGAGGATCGTGACTTTCTCAGTTAACTGCTTATTTGCAGCAGACAGAGCATTAAAAGCTTTTTGGACAGCTTTCAATGCTAAATCACAAAGCAAGTTTATGACATTGCCTGTCACTCTAGCAGTAGAAGTTTCACAATTTGTAGGACTAAAAGAAAAGAAAAACGGGCAAGCAGGTTACAGCGGGAGAAAGACCCACAAGATCAAGTGATTACTCCCTAAGCTAGCATTTGACTTGTTTTGCAACTTTTTGTAAATAAGTTTTATAACATAGTGTTTCACAGGTGGATTATTCAGATTTTTAATGTAAAAGTTGTTTCAGCTTCTAAACTTGTACAAACAGTAGGTTCATATCATCTGCATAAGTCGTCAATGTTATTGACTTGTTTTATTGAATGAAGTTATGGTGTAAGCATAAGTCTTGCGTAACTTTTAAAAACTGACCCTGACTCTGCTGACTCATACAAGATGTTAGATGGTTGACTTCAGTTTTTCTGGGCTTTCCTTTTTCTCCATTCGCCAGCAGGCCTCTGATTCCATTTGAGTGGCAATGTCCCTATCTTTAAATGCAAACGGCTGCCCCCTTGTACATGAACAATGTCACTTTGTTGAAGTGTACGTTACAAACCCTTGGTGCATTCATAATCACAAACCCGTCCTTCCCTGATGTTCTGGACATCAGATTTTCCCAAACTCATCCAATTTTTTTTCCACAAGGAATACTAAAAAAGGTAAAACCTGTTTGATTATCATTTGCATCATATATTCTGTTTGAACAGCCAAAGTAAACACACTGTTTTCCTTGGCTTTTCTTTGCCGCCATCTTGAAACAGATACTTCCATAGCCTCGCTTTCATGCAACCAGAAATAAGAAGGCTGAATTATGCAAAGCGTCTATGGAAGACTCGACTTTAAATGATCCTTGTTTTAGTGGGTCGTGTCCAGGAACTGTTGCCAGGCAGCCAAGTCTCCCTCCTGTGGTATAAGCACAATTTCATGCGTGATATTTGGAAGGGAATTGCTCCTTCGCTGTTAAGAAGTCTTTTCGCTGGGTCCAATGAAATTGACAGAAATAATACCAGGCATGCTAGTAAAGGTAATTATTATCAGAAAGAAGCAAAGTTGGAAATTTTCAAACGCTCATTTTCAAGAACTGGAGCAAAAGTATGGAACCTTATTCCTTCTGACTGGAGAGATGCTTCTAAATCTTCTTTTAAGAAAAAATTGGTGGATTTCTCTTTGATACTCTTGGATAACAATGATTATGTTGAAGTCGAGAATTTAGTGCAATGACAACACCCAGGCTCTTACAATTTGGTGGAATGTATTTATTGATAATAAATTTAGATACTAATTAACAAATAACTACAAAAGCCACTTGAACTTGTTGCTTTTGGCAACTTTGTTGTTTCTGTGGGATCCAAATGAAATGGGATTTACAAAGTTTAAATTTCTTAGTTGTAATAGAACTATTGGATAACAGTTAAGCGTGTATTTTCAAGAATATTTTTCAACATGTTGTGTTTACTTGTACAATTAAAAGCTTTCCTCTCAAAAATGAAAAATATTGTAGTTATGATAACGATAACACAATTTCAATGCCACACAAATTCAATTTACTGCCTGTTAACTTACATATAACATTACACGAATGCAATAAAATTTATCTCGTTTTACACTAAATTAAAACCAGTTTGTCTCTTCTAAGGGAGAGCATTTGTCTAATGTTTGCCTTTTCTTCAAATTATGACATGCTATCCACACGTTAAACCTGGAAATTTCAAGTTTGGTTTTTAAACCAAAACACAAACCAAATGCCAACAGCTGATAACAGAGCAAAATTCTCATTTGTCCAATCTTACTTTAGTCAGGTTCTGACTAAAGTGCACCTAAATGCCAATTTGTTTTTCTGCTAACATGAAACTTTGCACCTATTCCAAAAACATCTAGTCATTTAGCACTTATCCCCATGCCCCCCCTTCCTAGAATTTTTTCAGGCTTTATTTTCACTACTGCTTAAGTAGTGTTCATGGCTGCCATGATTGTTGACAGCTTCAAAAATCCAACAGCTGCAAAGTTTTGTTCCTGCAGAAAACAATATTTTAGGGTTTTGGTGCAATTTAAGAAAAACAACACGATTGTACAACGTTCATAGTCTGCAAAATTAATGTCTTTCAGATAGCCAAGTGCCTAACCAGTCTCATCATAACAGCCGGCGAAGTCTTCCTGAAGACTTCTCTACTCCTCTTCTGTGTCTTCAGGCTGCAAATACCATAGCCATTTGTTGCCGACACCACCAACACATCTTCAAATGAGGAAGATGAGGGCTGCGAGTTGGCTCTGGTGACTGATGTGGTAACCAATAGCTGAGCCGATCTTGGACAAATTGGCCCAAACATCTCCCCACCCCCTCTCAAGTTGCAAGTGTTTCAATTTTGGGCAAACCACGCAAAGGAAACCTGCATTGAACTTTAGTCTTGGAACAGTTGAGGAGCTCACAAAATGCATTGACAAATTGTGCCCTTCTTTTGTTAGGCAATTCATCAGAGTTCAAGCAATGTGCAATTGATGGAGCAAGTTCCAGTAAGGCAGTTAAGTGTTTGTTACGTTTTAGGCCAAGTGCAGCGAGTGTTGGTCTGTCTAGTAAAGTAAAGTAGTTTATTAAAACTCTCTTGCAGTAAAACAACTGAATTAAAGAGTACATTTTACAATCTTAAATTATCTAAAGTACAGTAATTTACAAATATAACAGTGGTACTATCAATTGAGTCACATAAAATATTTATATGTAAAAAAAGTCCTCTACTCTCTTTGTCATGCAGGCCTGCATGTCTAATTTGTTCATCAACACCCAAACAGTGCATTGTTCATTTTACATCTCTCTGACACTTGATCTACCTCTCTGCCATGTTTGTCACATAAACAGTATGGACAATTTTGATCTGCATCCCCCTGGGAAGGATGAGCCACTGCTTCACCAAGGCATGTACAGTTGCTCTTGGACGTTGTCTGACTGTTTCCTCACGTACCTGCTGGTAGCTCTGAATTGCTGTGTTCTGCCTGGCCCTAGCTGTAGCTCCTGCAACCTACAGTGGAGAAATAGGTGAGGTCCCTTACACTGAAAGTGAAAATGGGTCTGTCAGTCTCCCAGTAATAAGTGTACAACAATGACTTTATTCATCATCATCATCATCATCATCATCATCAGTCCTCATAGCGCCATCGGACACATAACACCTTCATAGTCTCTCCCCAGCGTGAAGTGTATGGTCTCGAGTTCTTTTTCCGTTGACCTCCTCCAGGTTGTTCTAGACCTTCCATGTTGTCTTTTCCCTTATGGTGTCCAGAATAGACGTACTTAAGGAATGTCGCTGGGGTCTTCAGTATGTGTCCAATCTAAGTCCATTTCCTCCTGGTTAAGCTCACCATGATGTCTTCTTGGTTACAAATCTTGCCCACTTCCAAGTTCGTCACTTTCTGTGGCCATGTTATGCCCAATATAATGCGAAGGCATTTATGGGAAAAACCCTCAGCTTTCTAACCATTTCCTGAGTTGTTTTAATAATAATAAACTTTATTACCGTGTCTAAAATGTTTAGCTGAGGGGAAGCATTCGTTCGGTCCATGTTTTATTTATTGTTGGGTTGACTGCTCTGTTTTCAGAATGCAATTGCGTAGCAAACCAAACTGTTGCCAACACCACATGTGACGCTGAGAGCGGTCAGTGTGAGTGCAGTGTCAGTTTAGCAGGAGGACTGTACGGCGGCAGGCAGTGTGACACATGCGCCAAGCGCACCGTGGGTGAGTATCAAAACTTACTTCACTGGGATTGGTTAGAGCGGTTTTGATTGAGTGATAGAAGTAACCCTGAAATGCTTTGGCTTGCTTTAGTTGGCTCCGTGATTGGTTTAAAAACTTGCGCCACTGACTCACTCAGCCAACCAAAACTCGCCAATCACAACTTGGTCAGCCGCGCCGTTTTCCCGCGGTTAGCGTCGTTGAAGTGCTTTTACGTTAAGCGCGGTTTGCTTTTGCTTGGCTTAATTTTTGTTATGTGTGACTACTTTGAATTTGACAAGACAAGACACTCGGTTGAAAACCGTTCTATTACTTAAATTCTAAACTAGACCAGCAAGAAGTACAGATGGTGTAAAACTACATAAGCTTAGGTGGAAATGTCTAATTTCCTGACTTTCTGTATACAGACTTGAAAAGTTTGAAACGAGCTGAAATGATCTAATCTTAGCATGCATGGCCTTTGCCTACCCGATAGCAGTCATTTATAAATTTGAACAAAGTGGACCATAATGCTCGAATGTTTGTTTACAATATTTGCTTCATTAGCATTAGCGATACAGTTTTCTGGTGAAGCTACGAAAACATTAGTTCTGAATATTGAAAGGACACAGCACTATTTTTCTAAGCTAAGGAATTTGAACCCGATTTATTGAATACTTTTTGTGTGACACGGGTTAAAAAACTTAAAATGTCACAAAGAATGTATGGACTCATGAGCGCTTTTGCCACCCAGAAATTTTGCAGTTTTTGAAAGCCAGTTTCTCGGATATTACACCCAAAGAGCCAAAAGTTCGCCTATTACCAAGTTTCACAAGCTTTTAAAACGTTTGTAGTCAATTTGTGTCTTGCATGATGCCTTCTCTGCGTGAAGTCGTATGTTAATGACGAAAAATGACGTCAGCAAAGATTCTCCAAAAGAAAGAAGAGATAAGAATTAATTTATCTTAACTTCTGTGCTAAAACTGAATTGATTTTGTTCTGCAGGGACTCCACCCATGTGTCACCCGTGCACGGAAGACTGTTATTTGAACTGGGAAATCATTATCACTAGAGAGACGAGCAAAGTTGACGAGCTGAATGGTAATGTAACTGAACTGCTGGAATCATTCGGGAGCATGTCAGTGGACAGTATCAACAAGACGCTTCAGATGTTAAAAACCAATGTGTCTTATGCAGAAGAGATATTCAGTAGTGGTGGAAGAGAGAATTTGCAGAAGAAACAACAACAAATCAACAGGGTAAATGATAGAGAAATTTGTTATTTGCTTTTTGGTTTGAGCGTCTCATCCGGCTTGAGAGTTACCGTCCGAAGGTTTAGAAGGCTGGGCACTTAAGCGCCCAGTGATACCTGGGATTGTTTTGCCACCCTGTCAAAACTACAAGGCTTCTGCGGTTGGTTCAAGTGCTTTTCATAAACAAACTACCGAAGACAGTAAATTCTTGGATTCGTGGCTGTGAGACCAACAACTTTCAAAACAAACCCGACCAACCGTATTGAATTTTCCGCAAAGTCACGAGTATAGAGCCTTAATTGTTCTTTTATGTAACATTGATGATGATTTATTTTTTCTTTCTTAGTCCAAAAGTGCTCTTTCTAGATCTTTGTCTTATATATTTATCTTATATATTACTTCCCTATTTAGCTAAGAATCAATAGACGTTTAAACTATATATTTTTATATCATACTCCGACTTCTATAATTCATCTATTTTTATGTATGTATTATCAGAGTTTATTTATTTAGTTATTCATTTATTTATATATTTTATAATCAACTTTTATAATTTAGTTGGTGCGATGTCTTAATGACTTTACCAACTTAATAAATGTAGATGAAGATGTAGATGTTATCGCCTAAAGGACAGAAAATATAGCCAGTCTTAAGTTAAATAAATGACGATTTTGCAGATTCAAAGCTCCATNTCGGGAGCATGTCAGTGGACAGTATCAACAAGACGCTTCAGATGTTAAAAACCAATGTGTCTTATGCAGAGGAGATATTCAGTAGTGGTGGAAGAGAGAATTTGCAGAAGAAGCAACAACAAATCAACAGGGTAAATGACAGAGAAATTTGTTATTTGCTTTTTGGTTTGAACGTTTCATCCGGCTTGAGAGTTACCGTCCGAAGGTTTAGAAGGTTGGGCACTAGTTAAGCGCCCAGTGATATCTGTTTTGCCACCCTGTCAAAACTACAAGGCCTCTGCGGTTGGTTCAAGTGCTTTTCACAAACAAACTACCGAAGACAATAAATTCTTGGATTCGTGGCTGTACCAACAACTTTCAAAACAAACCCGGCCAACCGTATTGAATTTTCCGCAAAGTGACGAGTATAGAGCCTTGATTGTTCTTTTATGTAACATTGATGATGATTTATTTTCTCTTTCGTAGTCCAAAAGTGCTCTTTCTAGATCTTTGTCTTATATATTTATCTTATTTATTACTTCCCTATTTAGCTAAGAATTAATAGACTTTTAAACTATATATTTTTACATCATACTCCGACTTTTATAATTCATCTATTTTTATGTATGTATTATCAGAGTTTATTTATTTAGTTATTTATTTATTTATATATTTTATAATCAACTTTTATAATTTAGTTGGTGCGATGTGTTAATGACTTTACCAACTTAATAAATGTAGATGAAGATGTAGATGTTATCGCCTAAAGGACAGAAAATATAGCCAGTCTTAAGTTAAATAAATGACGATTTTGCAGATTCAAAGCTCCATCAGTTCACTCCAGCTGGAACTGAACGATTCTCAAAGTTTCATTGAAGACGCACAGACCTACCTCTCAGAACATGTGGTCGACTTTAACGGAAGCGTTAGAATCGTACCCGCTATCCCTTCCATGTACCCATCATTCCCTGTGGTTTGCCCCAGCGGGGGAGGGGTGAGTGTGATCGTGGACTGGCAATGCATTGAAGCCATGGCAACGAGTTACCGTCAGAGAGCTATGCAAGCTAATGAATCAGGACACGCGAACTATAGCAGTATCCAAAGCAGTTACAGTATGGTGAGTGAAACAAACTAGTTGCACTTGTAGTAACTGAGTATATTTGCTTTTTAGGTTGAGTAATTCTCTCTTTCCTATATATTACAGTGTAACCTAGCCTTACTGCCACCCCGTTAATACGGCCACCTTGTTACTAAGGGCACTCTATATTGGCCCAAATAGAAGCTCAGTCAGTCCTTTTCTTTTTTTAAAGAACCCCTTAAATTCGGGCACCCCGTAATTTTGGAGAGACACCATTCACGTTTTGTAAATATCTTAGAGAGATTCCTAGCCTGACAATACAGCAGCTTTTCATCGCACCCGGTCCCTAAGGGATTCCTTTTTGAAACACTTATGATCTGCAAAGTGTCAAAAAGATCCTAGCCAAGCTTGAAAAACCTGTGGCTCTTAGTTTTCAAGCTTCTCTATGTTGTATTCCATTTCTATTGTCGTCGAGGTGACTCGTCCTTACCTCTAACAGGTCCTGTTTATGTGTTGAATACTGTTTTGTTATGATAAACTTTGTTGCTGTCTCCTGTGAGCTACGTAACTTAGTTTTTAGCTGTGCAGATTCAGTCAGGAATCGATGATACTTAAATTAACAAGTGTTTCCCCTTGTGCCTTTCAGATTCAGTTGGCGAACTCCACGGCTCACCGTGCAGCTGCGCAAATCAGTGTTTCTTTGGACCAACTAAGGCTGGTTTCATCTCTAAGAGAAGAAGTCGAGTCAGACCTTGGGAGCGACTTTCAGAGTTTATACCGTAACAATTCCTTGAGGCTAGAGGAAATCAGAAGAATCAACGATCTGTTACAGGAGCTCGTGTCGCAGGCTGAAAATTTCGGCGAGCAAGCAAATGTTAATTTGACAATGGCTATGGATACGGCAACTCGAGCCAAGAACGAGGCAGGTCAACGAAGACGAGAAGCACAGATTGCACGGCACAATGCCACTAACGCTCATTCGGATGCTATGCAAGTTAACCGTGAAGCAGAAAACGCCTTGGATACAGCTATGGAGTTTAACGTAAGTCTGCTTGCTTAAAAGACGTTTTCCTTTACAAGTCCCCGGGAACAAACGTTCGTGGGGAATCCTCGTAAACCCGAAGAGTTTCCGATTCTTATGGGCCAATCAGGAAAAAGCGCGAACATGCAGTCGGTAACAGCTTAAAAGTCTTCACGACATCATGATGTTACATTTACACATGAGTTTGAGGAGGGGGTCTGATAAGAATTTTTTTTTTCTTGTGATGATTTGATTTCACAACTGCTGTTTGTTCCGACCACTTCTTAAAGCACCTGCCATAACCCGGCTGTGCGACACAAATTCCAGCAACAAGCACTTTTTAACGGCCAATTCTATTCTGTCACCGCACTGAGGGCTCACGTGAGATAGCATTGCGCCTGCGCGAACTCAGTTTTTAAAGCACTTACCATGTGTGCAGTGGAAAATCCAGCACCAAGCCACGAAAGGGTTGGGCATGAAAAACCTAGGGCGGGCACGTAATCCCTCAGTGCTTGGTGACAGATAGAATTCAAATCAAACTTCAACTTACAGGTAAGTCTCGTTTAATTGTTGAATTATTCGACATAGAGGGTGCGTTCCTTTGGGGTGATCTGGATCAGGAGCAGTGATCCAAGATCACTCGGATCATGGTGCACCGCACCTAAAGAAACATGGTCGCGTTTCCCCGGCGTTGTCTTTGACCTGAGGTCTGGTAAGGAGACACCTAGTGTGGTCCTATCCACACTCAAGCACGTTACTACGTTCATTAAATGGACCATCTAAAAAACTTTAATTGCATTTGAATTGATAGGAAAATGCAACAAGGGTGCTCAGACAAACGCAAGATGCCATCAGTAACGTAACATCAGGAATAAATACAATAGCCAGGGTCAATAACATGACAGACGAAGCGACCAACATCGCAGATGAAGTGCGCGCCATGACCATGCCAGTTAGTCTGCAGCAGATCCAGAACTTGACTGATCAGATCCTCAACACGAACGTCAGCCAAGAAATGGTAAACCAGACTTTGGAAGCTGCACAGGAGGGTCTTAAACAAGCCAGGGAAGTGGAAGCACTCTCACAAAGGGCCATGTAAGTTATAGCTTGCCAGATTGGGATTTGTTGCAAGAATTGGGCGCGACAAATTTGGCGGCTAAACTCAAAGGTGTCCGTGATTTGCGTTTGTCTTTTTGTAAACTTTTTTTCAAGACGAACTTTGGCGGATCTATAACGATGTACTAGGGTAGTTAGTTTTAATTTTAAATTATAAAAATATGAACTTTTTGTGTTGACACGTTTTCCCTTTTTGTTTCTTGCTAACCTGTGAGTAAGCTTATGTTTGGGTCTTGTGCGCAAGCGGCAAAGGTACGAGAACGAGGCGGCAAGTACAATGAGCTTGGACGTACGCGCTTGTGAAGTCCAAACATGAGCCTCCTCCCAGACGCCGCCCAAACCAGCAGCTGAAAGTCCCGGGTTGTTTTCTTCGGCTTTGCAAAGCGTCGTTACGAAATTACCTTATATAAACTGTGGTTCCTAATGAAATTTTTTTTTTCCTATTAAGAAACGTGGCTCAAGAGACTCTCAACCAAGTAGAGGACATCGAAACAGCTTTAAATTCATCGGAGCACGTCAGACACGAAGTGATGACTTTACAAGGACATACTGATGAAATGATTGCTAACATCAACAATATCACTGAAACAGTAAGTAAACACCCTCCAGTCTCATTACAGCGAAGGCACGCCGCACCGTTGTCTACCCATGTTAGCAGGGGGGTCAGTCGCCAAGCGAGAAGTGAAAAATGTGCCTATTTTTTACTCGTCAAATATTACACTTCTCGCTTTAAGAGCGAAAAGCGGAATTTCTAGCACTCTCTACCTTGTTGACATTCTGATATCGTACTATTTTGAAGTGTCAGCCGTCTTCTAAGGCTTAACCCCTTGGGGTCTAAGCGAGGCTGTTCTCGCCTTAGCCCCTCGGTGGTTAAACGCGAAAAGAAGGCCAGCACTTCGTAGTAATGGCTTACTAGACTTCTCTGCTAATCAAAAGTCAAACAGCCACATTGTATCAATGTATAAGCAGGTGGCTTTTTGGTTTTCTCCGTCTCCTGAACCATAGTTAATAGAGGGGACCTCTATTAACTATGCCTGAACTTACTTCGTTTTCGAATGACTAGGCATTGAATAAACTGACGTAATAGCGACTATTTTCAGGACATAAGTAAAAAAAATTCTCTCAAGGACAGTGTAGAAAATGTATGGGAAATGGTCATGAGAAAGTTGATGTTGAACTTGGGGATAAAAGGTTTTAAGCAACATGCAAAAGTAGCGGTGACTTTTGAAGTTAGTCTTTTGTGAAAACCCAAACGATTGGAATTGGCTAACCTGCGATCAGCACTTAAAGTCGACGTGATAAGTCTTCGAAGGCGGGGGCACATTCTTTTGTTTACTGTTGTTAAGTTTACCCAAAAAAACCGCGAAAAAAATGGACACATTTGCCTTTTGGGCGGGAAAGAGGCAGATAAGTTTGCGTAATTTATCATGTATTGTTTTGCCGGTCAATCATAAAAGCTTACTAGGCATTGTTTTGAGTCGTCGGACAAAGGAGTAGCTCACCTGAGAGCGATTAGCGTGAAAGTTATTGTTTTCTTTGAAGTCAGCTGACGCTGTTTGTGTAATCATGCTTGCATTATAAGCTTGCGGTAGATGTTCATGCTGTTGTGCTTGCACATGTTAACCTGAAGAGGTTCTCTCCGTTCCTGTCAGGTTGAAACCAGCTTCTCAGCGTCATACTCCTTAGGGCGGAGTGTATTAACGAAAATAAACAGCACCCTTGATGATATGGAAGAAGGCCTGATGTGCTTTGATACCGCCAAGAGGGAGGCACAAAATGCCTCGCACACGGCTGAGATGGCGTTTAACATCTCCGAGCAAGCGAAAGAGGTGAGTTGCTGACTATCTCCATTAGCTGTCGTGTTTACGTTTGTAACAGATAGTGTGGTGTATATAGGAACCTCTAGGCAACAAATTGCAGTTGATAGGTGAATGTAAACAAAGCAAGTAACTAACTGGCATGGTCATGGCGCGCACTTCATCTGCGATGTTGGTCGCTTCGTCTGTCATGCTATTGACGCTTATTTTTGTAATGCTATAAAAGAGCGCAGCTGATTTCTACAAGTCGGATCTTGAATCAGTCCTTTACGCACATTGATAAGCAGGTGAGAGGAGATCGAATATCTGTTCACGAAAAGGTCTTGTTTTGTCCGAAGGTAAATCGCATCAATTCTGAAGTTCCAAGCAGATTGAACTTAACAATTGTGATCACCAAGTTAGTTAATTAGGCGATGCTTCTGCTGTCCTAAAACGTAGCTGTCGTGACTTTTATCGTCATTGAAGTTTATTTATTTCTCTTTCACAGATATTCGACAGCAGCAGCGCGTCATTACCACCGGTGGCAGCTCAGGTAAACTCGTCCTTCGAAGCAGCAAATGGAAATCTGTCAGAAGTACAACAAACTCATCAGAACTCAGAACAACTGCTAGATGACGTGACAGAGGCGGAAGGTATGCACTTCTTTGATCTTTAAAGTCACACAATGGAAACATTTTCCTTCGAGTGCTCCTGCGGACTGAGTTCGTAAGCCGTTCCATGCATCGTCGCGCAAGCGATCCAAATAACAGCTGCGAAGAGGACTAGGACTGAGGTTATCATTTACGTGACCGCTGGGGACTGGAAATGGTCCTGTAGATATTTAAAAATTAAAATAGAAGAATGGAGATGTTTTTCTCCTTTGTATTATTCAACGTTGCGTTTAACTTTTTAAAACCGCCTCCGAACTGACAGCAATTTCGTTTTTCGACTACTGTACAGTAGTTTTTCTTCCAAGCCAAATAGTAGAAAACAAATGAATGAACATATTCACATAGGTGGGTTCACTTGTTCTTCAAATTAAAGGGGCTCTAGGAACCATGGGTAATGGATTGAGCATCAACAATTTGTCGTTGTTTGTCTTTTAGAATTGTTGGCACAGTACATGGCACAGAGAGACGAACTTGAGAGACTGGGCCTTGAGATACAGGAGCTTGAAAGAGAGGCTGATGATTTGTTGGCTGAGTTTAGTGTGGCCGCTGACCAGTACTCACGTTGTGCGGGCGCAGCATGATGACTACCGGAGCATTTGAAGCTGGTCAGAACAACAGAAGACATCCACAGTTGTGTGTATATTTTAAGAATAGCTATTATTCTAGAGCTTAACAGTCAACTCAACGTCATACTTTGTGATGGCCTCTGGAGGCTAATTTTATATGGCTGGCGTCTTTACGCATTACATGCTGGCATTACGAGAATTCGGTTTATTAGGGTTCTAGATCAAATGTTTTAACAAATGGTCGTGTTTTGGAGTGAAAACACGAACAGTAGTTCCAAATCATTGACAAACGGAATACTGAGAATCTGTTTAGATTAATATATTATTTAGAGACGGTCAAATATTTTGAGGTCGTATGAAAATCGGCAGGCACGAATTAAGTTTGATAACATGACCGGTGTTTTTACATGTAACTAATGTTTTACGTTTTTTACGAGATCAGGTTAGTAGTGAAACCCTACTGAATATTTTTTATGACCTACCTAATGTCCTTTATTTTTGCGGGGGTGCGAATTTAGTAAATTTGGCCACGTAGAAAACTGAGTCAATTATAAAGTTTGGAGTTTTTAGTGAAAAAAAAAAATAGAATTTTATTGCCAAGAACACGTTTGTTTGTGTTGTTGCTTTCCGTTTCCTTTTTGTAGATCAATTTTCGTGATGCAGGTACAGAACCAAATTTAACCCACGCGTACTAAATGACATTGTGGTACAACTTATTTTCAGTCTGCATTTAATGTAGAAGGTGGACGATTGTCTCTTTCGCCGAGTCTTTCATTGTTGAGGGTCAGCGCAGGTGGGAGGGAAATGGTTAAGAAGCCCGGTAAACATGAAAGAAGCAAACAAACAGGCTAAGATTTATGTTGGAAGGCCCTTGACCCTGCACATCTTTTGTTTTATGCTCATTGACTATGCATGATTACATAATCGCAATGCTTCTATTGGTTAGTTGTATGAGCACACATAACCACCTTTTGTATTTTGCCAGGTTCTCT